GGGGGTGATATGGTAATGCAGGGCTGTCTTGATTGAAGGAAAGTTTAATTTGCATTTGTACTTAATATTGTTACATTGCTGTACTATTTTCATTGAGGACCGAGACGAGTATTTTTCTTTGACATTGTCCAGTTCCAGAAATATCCATACTGCCCCCACAGAAATGATTGGAATTCCCTGGAGGGTCAGGGAGGTTATGTAAGACCAAGAAATTTAAAGAAATTGTATGAATGTATGACACTTACATAATTTTGCTTTGAGAACTTGATATTTTCCGTAACTTAGACAGAAAGAAAAACTTCATGACCTGTCATCTTAGTTGATATTTCGCTAATTTCTAGCATTTCAGTGATAAATTGATATTAAGCCATCACATCAGTCCGATTCATGCGTAGAGGTTATAGAATGTGCTTAGTGCAAATAAATGTTTGTTTTCAAATAGCAGATGGACCAAAATTTCCTGTTTCCCCCTTTCCCTCTAACAGACAACAAACTAAACAAAACTTGTCACTTGTTAAAATAATAGGGGAATTGGCGGTTGCACTGGATACAACTGCTACGCTGGATAATGGTCTGCAGTGGTTAGCCCAGCATTCTGCAAGCAACAGACCCCGTTTGTGTTTATCAATAAAAATCAAAAGATACATATGTGAAATTAGACTAACAGAAGTCCAGATAATAACAACGTGCCTGCTGCCTGTCAGGAAAAAAAACCCTTTTTAGAGGAAACCTGAACCCGCGAGAATGCAGAGCGAGGCACTTAACAAATACCCCGAGGGTGAGGGATGACAAATCCAACAACTGTAGGATAACAAGATAAATCAAAATGACATTAAAAAAAGGTTTCGAAACAAAAGCAAGTTGGCAGGGACGTCAGCATAGCATGGCCCAACTCTGCAAAAATCCTGCAATTATAGCACTTGTGTCGCCATCGAAATGTCAAAACCGGTTTCTCCCATGACTGGGGGGAAGGCTCAGCACTTTGATTAGTGCTCACAATGGGCTTCAAGCATTGCAGAATTTTATTGCAAATTGCATTTCAATCTGTCAATTTTTGTTAACCTATCTTTGTGGATCAATACCACTTGACTTGTTCGCTCTTGTTTGCATGCCCTGGTGTTTCATATAATTTCCCTTCCCCCTCACCCTATTGGCAAATGCCATACGTTTTGTAATTAAAAGTATCTAATTAGGCATAGGCATATAAAAAGTTAG